ACACACACACACACACACACACACACACACACACACACACACACACACATACACACAGATATGCATGCATGTACACACAAGCTGATCCCCTCTGGCCTGGCACCCCAGCACTGCAGGCAATCTGGCTGCTCTGGTATGCTTAAGACCAGACAATACAATGGTCATGACCAGAGTTGCTTAAGGCACAGGAGAAAATAGTTAGCAGTTTATCTTGGGGGAGACACTGAAAGCCCATGAGTATAACCAGCAGACTGGGTGGGGAAGGAACCTTTTTAAATTTAAAATACCTGACAAGGACTCTTGCTAGCAGGGGCAGGGAGAGGGTTTAGTTGTGCAAATACTGGCCCCAAAATACACGGGATCATGTTTAACTGAAATAGACATTTCTTCTGCTTCTTTCCTCAGAGATATACTTCTGTGTCACAGTAGAGTAAATAAGACTAACTTTCAATAAAGGTTGGAGCCACGTGCCCCCAGTGGCTATAGTTCCCAGTGTAATATCCAGTGAAGACATTCTGAGTGGCCTGGGACACACGCGTCCCTAGGTGAGCACCATTTTTGTAGGAAAGCACCTTCCATTCCAGTTCAGAGCTCTACAGACTCCCCAGCACTGTCCCACCTACACAGTGAGCCCTCGCCAGTCAGTTTCTCCTTTGAGGCCACAGAAAGGTTTGCTCTGGTTTATAGCGTTTAGTCTCCTTGACTCTCCGGAAAGGTCTGAAGAGAGACAGCAGTGTTAGGCAGAAAGGGCTAAGGCAAGAGTCCTGACAGCTGTGCTGGTGGAATGATGGAGGCTGAACCACGGTACTTCCTCATCATGACCCTCGGGCAGAGCATCTTGCTCAGTCTCAGTAAACTGGGCTTTGTTTGGGTAAGCCTTAAGACATCAGAAAAAGTTAATATCCTGAATAAGCTTTCTTAGGAAAATTCTGCAAGCATTCTCCACGAGAGAAGAAAGGGGATAAAGAGATGGCAAGGGACCAAGCAAAGATGGACTCCAACACCCTCCACCAGCCTCTCCCAATATTAGCCCAAGACCTAAGAGGGAGAGGGGACTGGAATCCAGTCTGCATTTGGGGACAGGTGAGGTTTTCCCCAAGGAAACCATCCAGGTCCTCGGGTAGCGTCCAGTAGGCATAGGCACCGCCATGCAAGTCACATCTTCCTCCTGCTTCCTCTAAAAGCTTCTCCGTGAAAATCTAGGTGCTGGCAGTGACAGCTAAGTGGAGCCAAGAGGTGAGTGTCTATGTTCCTGAGTCTCTGCCACCTCTCTCAGAGATGAGCCTCCTCCGACACGACAGTGGGTGCCTTGCTGGTATTAATCTCCTCCTCCTCTTCTTCCTCCTGGACTTTCTAGAGGGCAAAGAAAACAGGCAGCCCTGTGATTACAGCCTACAGATCTCCTCCCTGGCTGAAGCAGCTACCTGTCCATAACTGATCGGTGGCAAGTACACAGGCGGGAGGCCCCTCCGTGTCTCCACAGAGCAAATAAAACACACAAGGAAACAAGCGAGCTCAGTGTGTTCCCCAGACACCTCCCTCGCCATCGCCACTCATCAGAGGGAAAAAAGCCAGCCTCCTGTTCCAGCAGCCCCAAACTCACCTCCCCAGGCCATCAACTAAGCTGCTGCTAGTTCCAAATCAGCAGATCACTCAGAATCTCAACTAGCCCACTGGGAGGCAGGGACCCCAGGATGAGGTTTATTATAATGTCTATGGAATGGATGGCTTAAGATACCCTGCTGTTATAATGCCTATGGGATAGATGCCCCAAGATACACTATATCTGAATTCAATGGCCATGCAGTTATATAAATTCAGAGAGAAGAACACTGCAGAAGCTTTTGGAGGGAACCAGTTCGGGCTTGGCTTTTTGAGGGGAAGGGTGGCATGGAGTTCACTTATAGGAAGTCTCTTGGCTCACGCTTATTAAGTGGGTTAGGGATTAGGTATAGCCTGGAAATTTTCCTGTGGGGTCCCTTACACATATTGCCAACTTGGGCATTTGGCTGTCTTCTAATTAGCAAAAGGGCCTTGAACACAGACATTACTACAGAGCCAGCACTGCTCAAGGCCCAGAGGAGGGTGCGCAGGGCCAAGTCAGAAGCCAATGCCAGCTGGACACACTGTGCTTTTGTCCCTAGGAATGCCTGGGCCCCATCCATAGCAAGGGCCACAGCTGTAGTAACCCAGCCCCCTCTTTCATTCTCAACCTTGCAGGCCTTTTGGCACCAGATCTGCCTCCGCCATTAGGAAACTTCATTCAGACAGCCCTCAGCTGACCCTGCACCTATTACACACATTCCTGCCTCCTCTGAAGCCACCGCCTCAAAAATCACCATCAGAAACAGCTTAGGAGCAGGGACGCACATCACTGTCTAGGTGCTGGAAGGACAAATGGAAACCCAGGGGTTCTCATAGTCAAGGTCAAGTCATTCGCCCTGTCGTTATGTTCTCTTTTTGCCTAAACAGTGCATCTCCTGATGTGTAGAAAGGGTAGATGCAGCCAGACCTGGTGCATGCCCTCGCCTCACTGGGCTCTGACCATGGGCCCAAATACAAGGATGCAAAACAGGGATAAAGCACAGGTGAGCCCCGTTACGGGTACCTAGTCCCATTCAGTGCTACTTCTGGTATTCAGCCATCATGGAGAGTGAGCCAACAACTCCATCTGATTGACAAACTGAGTAAATGGACAGGATCCGGCTCCAACAACAGTGAATTTTTACAACTGAAAAAGGAAACAGGATGGAAATGCCCATATCTGTAGATACGAGGTATAACATGTAATTGATGATGAAGTTTATCTTTTTAAAACTGTGTGTTTGTTTATGTGCACGCTTGTTTGTGTGTGTGTGTGTGTGTGTGTGTATGTATTTATGAGGGTATGTTCAGCAGAATGCAAGGCCTGAAGAGCTGGAGTTACAGAACCTGGTGAACTACCTGATAGGGGTATTAGGAATTGAACTCACGCCCTCGGTGTGAATACATACTCTTAACTGAGGAGCAATCTCTTTAGCACTTATCGTTATTAAGCAAACATACAGAATAGAAAATGAGATATATACATCTTCATAGGTTACAGCACTGGTAGCTGGACTGGTGATATAATATAATCAGCTATTTATAGTATTAGTGTATAGTACATTCTAATATGTAAATATATTTTATTTACCTTTATCTTCCAACTTAAACACATGACACAAAAGTCATGGTCCCAATTAAAAATTTTTCACCAAAATCTATTTTATTTTAGACACCTTTACCCAGGCTTGTCATATAATTATGGCCAAAGTATTCTAAATCATTGTGTCTCTTTATAGACAACACAGTAAAAGCCCATGTCCTTGGTGGCCTTTGCTCTTCAGCACTGATCTAGATAACATTGTCCTACCTTAGGCTTTCCCTATCTCCCAGTAAACACTCTATTATAGGCTCCCTGCCCCCTCCCCCATGCTAGCTGCTGCCTGCCAACTCTAGAATGTGATTTCGGAATACAAATAGTAAAAAGAACTAAAGGATTCTCCCTTAGAAGCCAGCACATAGCCCCGAATGGCTACTTTCTGCACTCCCTGCGGGAAATCGGCTCTGCCTTAGAAAACTGGCAAAGGTTTTTCAAGTTGATAAATGCTCAGTCTTGGTGCGCCTGTACAGTAGCTGAAGCAACACACTGATGGCACTGACTGCATCTCTCCAGAGACGTCAACAACTCATAAATTAAAACATGACAGCTGATCCATTCCTTCAGGAAATACTGTCCCTTAGCCTAGCAATCCAGCCTCCATCGTATTAATCCCCGTACTATTATTATAATGTAGGAGGCATGGAGGTCTTTGTGCTCACCAAGGAGGTTCGGAGAACAAGGAGTGTTAGATACACAGGGCTATCCCTTCAGGGGGGAGGAATGCTTAACCTAATGTGCCCAGAAAGCTGGTAGTGGGTGTAGTTCCTAGCCTGGTGACCTTTGTGGCCACACCGGATCCTCCCCAGACCCTCTAGTAAACTTGTTTTTCTCAGTCAATTTATAGAGCCCATCTTTATGGACGGAGTCACATGTCTTTTACAAAGAGTTTCGATGCAATCACTTTCGGAGGTAGTCACGTCTGATCTTTATTTAGCTTGCTTTGTTCCTCAGATTTATGTGTGCTTTGTCATACACACAGGACTGAGTTCATTGTCACCAGGAAAATTTTCACCAAACTGTGCTGCGCTTAAATAAACCTAAAATAAACTACTCAGGGTCAGACTCACCAAGTTTGAACCAACACCTGCTACATTCTCCAGATAAGCGTGAGGACATGCGTTCAGATCCCTAGAACCCATTCAAATGTTGGGCAGCCATGGTGAGCCCCCCTGTAATTCTAGAACTCAGAAGGTGGTTGGAGACCCAGAACAATCTGGCTAACCAAACTAGCTATACGCACGAGCCATGGGTTCAGCCAGAGAGTCTGCTTCAACGTAGAAGGTGGAAGATGGCCAAGGAAATTCCTGATGCCAACCAAATTCCCGCATGCCTCCACATGCAGGCACACCTACACATATGCAAACATGCATACACATGAAAAAGAAAAAAAAGTATGTGTGCATATATATCCACACGCATGGACATGCATAAATAGTAAATAGTATAGTTAGGAAATGATTTTGAGATTTTTGTATATTTTTTCTGTTTTTTTTTTTTCTACAAAGGATATGTCTGTAATGAATTTGATGGTGGTGGTGGAGGTGGTGGTGGTGGTGGTGGTGGTGGTGGTGGTGGTGGGTGTGTGTGTAAAACAAATATCCTCCTTTGGTTCGTCACACTTGCATTTCCTTTTATCTTGAATGTGCCTCCTGCTCCATGCTGGGGACTGAACTTAAGACTCTGTGAATGCTGAGGAACCACTCTGCCACTGAGTTCCCCAGGCCCTCGCTCAGACTTAATTCTATCATTTTGGTTAAAGTGGTTTCCAGCTGACTAGGGCAGATGGAAATCACTTTTCTGTCCTAGAGCATATTCCCTGTCCCACACCTTCCACTGCCACCAGCTCCTGCTTCTTGACTGGTCCTTGTAGAGGTCTTCTGGAAGCCTACTGGCTCCATCCTCGTTACTCTGCTGCCACCACTACCACCACAGAGTGATGCTCCCTTGCTAGTCACAGACACCAAGTTGATAACAGTGAAGCTGAGGGCTCAAGACTTGGTTTAAGAACGCAAGAGCAGATGCTGTTTAGGAGCTTGTGACAGCAATGATAATGCTCTGGGGAGCAGAACAATGAGACCGGAGGCTGGTTGAAAGTCAAAGAAGGGGATGGAGAAAGGGCCAATGGTTAAGAGCACTGGCTGCTCTTACAGAGGACCCAGGTTTGGTTCCCAGAACCCACATGGTGGTTCAGAACCACCTGCAACTCCAGTTCCAAGAGATATGATACCTTCTTCTGGCCTCTGTGGTCACTGGGCGTGTACATGGGATGCATGTGTACAAGCAGGCAAACACTCACATATAAAATAAAAGTTAATCTTTTGAAGAATTCAAAAAAGAAAATGGAAGAGGATTCTGAGAGAGGAGCAATACTGGACACCCACTGAGGAAATTCTTTGGCTGCCATGTTTATGAGAGGTGAGCTGGCCTCACACAGTCACAGCAGAAACCAGTTCTTCTGGGAGCTTCTAGGAGCCCCACCTGTGTTGCCACATCCTTATCAGAGGCTTAGAACCCAGATCCTACCCCAAAAAACTCAAACACACTCACAGTCTCAGGAGCATCCTTGTTCGCCTTCTGTCTCCGAAGATCTGCCTTAATAAAAGCTGAGATTGAAAAAGAAGAGTGTCAGAGGCAGAGTCATCAAGTAAATCCACTGGTCAAATTCATACAAGAGAAGGAATCCTCATTTTCCCAAGGATCATAGCTATCCCAATCCTACTTCAGACCATCAAGAAGTGGCTGGCACCATCACCCATCTTGAAAGGTCCCAAGTCACTGCTGTCCTTGAGAGGCAGAAGCCAATAGTGATCCTGACATTCACTTAAGGGTCTCTTAAAAGGGGCTTTACACATACTGTGCTAACCACCACCAACAAATCCTCACTGTACAAATTAAGAAACTGAGGTCTCCAGAGCCTGATCCATTTGTTCATGTTGTGAAAGTCAACATCAAACATGGGCCTTCTGATTCCAGAAATCCATCAAGCCCTCCCATCTATCCCCACATGTGTGCTCCCCATTATAATCACCAGTCAAGACTCAGGTTCCAAATTTCCAACATCCCATGAGTAGCATGACTCTCATCTTGCTCTCAGGCCTTCACTCACCAGTGAGAGCTGATCCAAGAGCAAGGAACACACACAGGAAGATATTCCCAGCAGAGGATCCATAGTTCTCAATAATCTGGCCTTGGGAGATGGTGAAGATGATCCCAAATACCTGGAGAAACATAAGGAAGGCAGGAAACGAGGGCTTAATCAATTAAGCCACGGGGATGGTTAAGATGCCATATGGTTACAGGCTCACAGCCAATCAGGGAGCAAAGAGAAAACAGGGCCCTACCTGTGCAGACACATTGAGGAGGCCAGACGACATGCCTTCAGATTCTGGGTATGTGAGCTCCACAGCAAACTCAAACCCCAGAGGCAGATAGCCAGTCATGAAGAAGCTGAAGTCCAGACCAGAGAACAAAGTGATGGAGAGTCTCCAGAACAAGAATGGGAGCCCACCTTTCCCCTTAGACTCCCTCCCTCCCCTGCTTTTCTCTTCCCATCAGGTTATCTGTCCATCTTCTAGGATGGTCTGTCAAAACAGGGAGTTCTCTGCAGACCTCTAGGCCTTGTTCTCAGTGGGTCTCTAATGTCTTTCCATGCTCTTCCCTCTACCCAGCAATGACACATTAGCATTCAGGGAAGGGCAAGAGTGCCTGGTGTGTTTCACTTTCAGCTGAGAATGAGTCCTAGATCCAGAGGCCCTGGGTTGGAAGGAAAAGTTCCTGGACATTGTCACCATGGATCTCTGGGACCTAGAAGAAGTTTGGGGTTCTCCCTATTTCCTTCCCAGTAGGAGACGGCTGAGAAGGACTGAGAGCCAAGTGTCTCTCACTCACTCTCACAGGGCATCATGCTGCCTGAAGGAAACTAACTGGGAGGTGAAGCCCAGGGAGGTCTCTGCAAAGGCCTGGGGCTCTGTGCATTTATTTGCTCACCCAACACATCCAAAAGTGCCAGTTCTAACTCCTTTCACCCACCCCATGCTTCCCCATGTCTTCATATCATGGTCTCTCTCCTTCCTTCCAGTTATCCTATGGAGTCGGTCATACTTATCTTCCTCTTCAGATGAGGAGACGACGGAAGCTCAGAACATCAGTTGGCAGGCCTGTGCTCTAAGTTGAGAGCAGAACTGAACCTTGGACTCGGAGCCACTAAACATTCCCTAGCGTCGCAGAATGTCTTGAAGGTCATAATTCATGCTTTATTCCATCCCAGCAGGATAGCCCAGCTACTTGATATAACCCAGTTGTTTTTGTTTTGTTTTATGGTGTTTCAAGACAGAGCCTCTCTACATTAGCCCGGGCTGTCTTAGAATTTACTATGTAGACCAGGCTGGCCTCAAAGTCACAGAGATCAGCTTGCATCTGCCTCCTGGGTGCTGGCATTCAAGGCATGCACCCCCCCCACCCCCAGCCTAAGACCCCTCAGCACCATTTCCATGTTTCCTGAGGCCTGTGAGAAGACAGCAAAGAGGACACGCATTGCATCCTAGGCCACGGGCCACTCTAGGAGCCAGGGGACGTGTTTTCCAATTAAACAAGTCAGACATGAGACTTACCCCAGCGTACCAGCAGTGATGAATACCACCCACAAATGGCCCAGTTTCAAGGTAAACGTGTACACCACCATGCCCACCAGGGTCATGATATACACTACCAGCGTTGTCTCCCTGCAGAAAAATGAGAAGGAAGTGAGTCACACGGTCTGCTTTAACAGCACCCAGCAGGCTGAGCTGTTCACTCCACAAGGAGCTACGGAGCCTCCATTCCCCTTCCGGCTCTCCGCAGCGTGCCAGCACACCTGCCGACACTAACCCAACAAGTACTCATGTCCAGTTAACAGTCGCACCGTGATCGATGCTGCGAAGGGGAAGACGAGGTAAATATGAGGCTATTCTGCTAGCCGCATGCTCTCTATCTGTACAGACCTCTCCACAAGCCTCGCCTGTATCCCATCCACAGGTAAGAACAATACAGCTCTGTCCTGTCTTTCGCCAAAAAGAAGAAGCTTCCTTTCTTTCTTTCTGTTTCTGTTTTTATTTTCGTTTTTGTTTTTGAGACAGGGTTCCTCTGTGCAGCCCTGGATGTTCTGAAACTCACTTTGTAGACCAGGCTAGCCTCAACCCAGAGACCTGCCTTTCTCTGCCTCCACAGTGCTGGGATTAAAGGCACATGCCACCACCACCCAGCCAGCTCCTTAAAGCCTCCGGTGCTGCTTGCTACATTTAGGGAATCAAAACCCTGTAGCAATGTTGGGCGGTAGTCTGGCTTGCCAGCTACCTATGCCAATTCTTCCTGTGGCCATTTGCACAGCTTTTCCTGTTGAATCTACTGAATTTGAACTACTCTGGTCCAGACAATAGAGTTGAAAGAGAATGTTCTCTTATCCTGAGCTAAGTGCCTGACTCCAAAGCCAAAGGGAGAAACCACTGCCTACTCCCTGCTGCCTTTCTCTTTGTGCTGGGTTTGATGTCAGGCTCACTGCTCCCACGCTCCTCCACACACTCTCTTCATTCACAGTGTTGGCCTCCCAGGACTCTCTTGTGTCCCTGAGTCCTCCAAACAGGCTGTTCCCTGTACCACTTCCTGTGAACAGCAGGACTCAGACTTGAGCGCTCAAAACTTTTACATGTCAGCAGGGCGAGGCGGTGCAGTTGCAGTGGTGTAATCCCAGGCAGAGGCAGGTGGATCTCCGTGAGTTCGAGGCCAGCCTGGTATACAAATCGAGTCCAGGACAGCCAGGGCTACACAAACAAACCTTTACCTGTCTCCTCTGAAGCAAGGGACACCAGCTATGGTATATGAAACTAATACTTCTATTGTGGTTCAGATTCTCTTACATACTTCACAGGTCTTTATGACTGCGATCAACCCTGCCAAGAAATTTCCAGCCACTCCTAATTTTACCAATGAAGAAACAGGTTCGATATGTGTTTAAAGTCACTTGATAAATCCAGCTGGTGGTGGCACACACGTTTAATCCCAGCACTCAGGAGGTAAAAGCAGGTGGATCTCTGAGTTTCGAGGCCAGCCTGGTCTATAGATCAACTTCAGGAACATCCACGACTACACGGAGAAACCTCGTCTCCAAACAAACAAACAAACAAACCACTAGCTGAGTAAATGCAGAAGGTAAGATCTGAACACAAGCTGGGTCTGACACATCGGGCACTGTCTCAAGCTACACACTGGAATAATAATTTACTATGCAGTTGCATTTTGGAAAGAAATCAAAGCCATAGCCAATAGGAGATGCTGCACTCCCCTGCTTCTGAGAATAAGGGACCATCTCCCTTCACCCCATCCACTTCCTCCATTCCCACCACCCCACAGAAAGCATGCTCATGACCATGAGTCAGTCTCAGTGATTTCTACAAACTCACCAGAAAGTAAAACAAAATAACAACAACAAAAAAAGCTTCTTTCTGCTGTGTTTATTAAACCACAACTCTACCTTCATACAGTAGCTTCTTTAAAAAGACAAAAATACAAAAAACTATTTCCAGCCTTCAACCCAAAGCAGCCAAATCCAGGAGTTTGGAGAGGAAGAGAGCTGGTTGACCGCTGGTTCTGGACAGAACTGGCCATGTCTCATCTCTGAAGAGGGCACAGCATGAGTCTCCTCAGGCCTTTACTGTGTTTTCTTATTCATCTAAGTCATCTGGCTGCCCACGATCCAGCCAAGCCAACATTCCAGTCCCTCCCTTCTCCTGCTGCAGGGCAGGCCCTGGAAAAAGGGACACTGCTGTCCTCTTGTCTGGGGGCGGCCAGCCTTCAGCGCTTTTGTATCTGGCTGAAACAAGCAACTAACAGACGCAGAGACGAGGTGGCAGCCAAGCTTCACCAGCGGCAATTAAGCCGAGCTAGGCTCCTTGCCGTAGTAAGGCTAGCAGCCACATCCCTGGGAGTGGCCTCAGCTGGCCTTTGACTAGGCCAGCCAAAGTGAGGCTTGACCTGCCCTCACTTTGTGAGGCTCACAGAAGTGGGTCTGTGTGACAGAACAGGTCCACCACTGTCTGTTGCCTCCAGACACTGGGAACTTTGGAAGGCTCTGACAAAGGGGCTCAGAATGTTGCCTATCCTGGTGCAGGGCCTCCTGGCAGCTAGTGTCCACCGAAGACCCCCTGTGTGAGGGGCACCACCGAGTCACAACTAAAAGGGAAGGACAGGACTGGAAATGCTGGCAACATAGTTCAGTACTCCATTACTTGCCTAGCATACACAGGTCCTGGGTTCGATTCTCAACACATGGGTGTAGGTTAGAAATAGGTTGGGAGGCTGTCCTCTAGTTTCTGTCCTCTGAAGAATTCCTTCAAGACTGGCTGATGAAGTGCTGCCCAGCAAACAGCAGAGGTCCTCCTGGCTACATCCCTGGGCTGAGATTACAAGCACATGCCACCATGTGGGTCTTTTTATGTGCATCCTAGGGATCCAACTCAGGGCAAGCTTACAGGGCAAGCGCTTCATCAATTGAGCCATCCCTCCGACCCCCAGCTTGCATTTGACAAAGCAGACCCTTCTACTGCATTGGCATCTGCAGAGCGGGGTGTCAGGATTTTGTATTTATAGGCCAGGATTAGGTTGGCATGTACGAAAATCTTTTACGATCACTCTGTGCTCTTACAAATATACTGGATATTCAGGCCCAAGGCACATCGTGATATTTGCCAACAAGATAAAAACAATTGCAAGGTTAAATGCACTGCAAACTGGTGTAAAACACAGAGAGCTCAGTTAGCCCAGAGCAGCCAAGGGTATGGGTCAGGGAAATCACCTCTTCATCTCTCCTTGGCGTTTCCACAAACTTTTCAACTGCTGAGATTTGTTTTCACTTTTCTGTCCTCTGTCCTTTCCACAAGGCTTTTGGATGGGAAAAAGACTAAGCTAGCCTTCGAGAGATCCCACAGAGTGAGTACAGTGTTCTGCTTTGTAAATGAGGAAACTGTGACTCAAGAGAAAGTGGGAGATGCCTGCTTGACCACTCAGACCTCTGGCTGCTACCCCTCCCCTAAAGCTAATGAGCTATGTTCCAATAAGTATGCATTCCAAAAGCAAGGGGCCCCAGGTCTTGATCCAGGTCGTGATCCTACTCACTTGTATGTTTTGGACTTATCCAGCCAAATGCCTGAGATCATTGCTCCAAACATCCCGGCAATGACAATGGTCAGACCGATTCTTCCGGCATTCACTTCTTCCCCCTGGAAATGACACAGAGACCATCCCGTGGGGTCCATTATAGCCAGTATTTAGCAAATGCCAGGACAAGATGGCCCCTATAACAACAACCTGGAGAACATTCTAGAATAGCTGCACCTCCCAATAATAATCATACCCCAGCTGTGTATTTATGTATGCTAGAGTACCATGGTCAACCAAATTCTATCCTTAGAACCACTTTCAGGCAGATAAATTTTTTTAATTAATTAATTAGTCTGTTTGTTTGTTTGTTTGTTTGTTTGTTTTTGAGACAGGGTCTTACTATTTACCCCTGTCTGGAACTTGCTCTGTAGATCAAGCTGGCCTTGAACTCACAGAGATCCACTTGCCTTTGCCTCCCAACTGCTGGGATTAAAGGGCTACACCACCATGCTCAGCCCAGATATTTTTAAATTAATCCTTACTGCAATTCTATCTTATGTATCATTGTTTCCTTTTATAGATGGGAAAATCTACTGGCACCCATACATTTATTTCATCCATTTTTCAAGTGGGTCTAAACTGTGGCCATGCTTCCCAGGACAGCTATTAATGTGGCCCAACACACTTGTAGATAATAATGTCATTTTGCAATCAAAACATGTTGGGCACTAGTAGTTATATATATATATAATACTATAGAAGGATATATATATATATCCTTCTATAGTATTAATATAATATGTAAAAGTGTGGAAATTATTATTTAACTCTCATAATGCCTACCATACAATTAGGAGTCAGTCTGTACCCATTTGATGACATGAAACAGAGGCACAGTGAGATTAGCCTGCTACCCAAGTTACAGACATACGGCTTTAAGGACAGAGCTAGAATATGATCTTAGAACCAGCTCTGAAGACAGGGACAGCTAACGGTAGTGGCTTCTGCCCCTGCAAGTGTGACATCGATGGCCTTGGTGTGCCTGACTCTATGACACTCAGTATCGCTTTCCCAATATCCAGCCTTACTGGTTCTGGAAACATTTATACCAAATGCTTTCACTGATTTCAGAACAGCCAGGTCCACATAAGAAGACCTTGTCTAAAAAAAAAACTTAACTAATAAGAAATAAAATGGGGCTGGAGAGACGACTCAGCAGTTAAGAGCTGGGAAGAGCTGGCTGCCCTTCCCAGAGGCCAGGGTTCAATTCCCAGCATCCACATGGCAGCTCACCACTGTCTGCAACTGTAGTCTCAGGGGATGTCATGCCCTCTCCTAGTCTCTATGGACATTAAGCACACATATGTGCATAGACATTCGTGCAGGCGAAATACCCATACACATAAAATAAATAAAAATTAAGGAAAACCAAAGCATTCAATATGATTGAACATATAAGTTCAAAATTAAACCTTGCCTATATAATAAATATTATATGAACACACTCACACACACACACACACACACACACACACACACACATTATATGTCATTACTTATTCCCTAGTCTTTTTATATAAATTTTGTTTCAGGTATTTGGGTATTTCGCCTACACGGATAGATGTATACCACATTCATGCCCAGTGGTTATAAAGGCCAATAGAAAGTTTCCAATCTCCTGGAATTGAAGTTACAGTGGTTGGGGGTCGTCATGTGGGTTCTGAGTATTGAACCCAGGTCCCCCGGAAGAGCAGCCAGTGCTCTTAGCCACTGAGACATCTCTCCAGACCCTATTCTCTACTCTTAGAGAATAATCTTTCAAGAGGTAATTGTAGCTGGGCATAATTGTACATGCCTCTCATCCCAGCACTCAGGAGGCAGAGGGAGGCAGATCTCTTTAATTTTCCAAGCTAACAAAGGCTGTATTGTGGAATCCTGCCTCAAAAAAAAAAAAAAAGGTAATATGTCTATTGTAGAAGAGAGGTCTAAGGTGATAACAAGCTTGTCATAATCATACTATGACATCGCTTAATACTACCAAAACTTAAACTGAGACCCAGGGCCATCTCCCTTCAAATCCCATGAGCACACTGCCATCAGAGGCTACCTGGAACAAGCTAGACCCCGGAGTGAGCTACCCAGCCTCTGCAGAGACACACTTGAATGTTTGGTATCTCCCTGCCTTACCGGGAAGTTCAAGATCACCATGCGATTCAGCAGAGTGGATAAGGCGTAAAAAGCACCAGCGTTCAGACCTGAAGGAAGGAGAGTAGAACACATTAGGATCAGCTTCCTCTCAGACCATGGGCTAGCATCTCTCCTCCCTGCAGCCGTTAGGGAAGTCAGAAGAAATCCTTGTCCCCACGGCCACTCTGCATGGTATCCACAGAGGAGAAAAATTCAGGGAAATGGGAGGTGACTTTCCAGTTCTTCTGAAAACAACACAGAGCAACCAACACAATCCTTTCTTAGCCACACACCATTATACCATGATTCCTTTAACCTGCTCCGGATGACTCTGTACAGGACCACTCCACGTCAGAACCGTCTATGTTCCTCCTTTCAGCTTTAACCTTCGGGGTTCAAACAAGCACTGGATACTCTCCACCTCATCCCAGTGACCCTTTTTTCTCTCTGAGCACCCAGCTTGGAGCCTTGGCACCCTTCTACCTGCTGGCTGCCTCTCCTCTCTCCTCACACAGATCTACTACGCAAAACTAAGAACACCCAAATGAGCATTTAGTTGATGCCCTACTTCATCAGTTTATTCAACAAATGGTGGCATACCTAGAAATTTCTGGTAGAAAGAGAGAATAGGGGCTGGGGAGATGGCTCAGTTGGTAAAGTTTCTGCCACTCAAGCATGAAGACTTGAGTTCAGATCTCTAGTATACATTGCAAAGAGCCAGGCATGGCCTCTGGGGCCGGTAGACCCAGCACTCTGGGGAAGGGCAGAGACAAGTGGGTCCTGACACTCATTGGCCAGCCAACCTAGCAAAACTGATGAGCTCCAGGTTTCAGTCAGAGACTCGGCTTCAAATAAATAAATAAATAAATAAATAAATAAATAAATAAATGGTGAATCAGGAAGGAGACAGAATGTGGGACACTGTGAGGAACTGAAGGTAGGCAGTAGTTAGGTATGACCAAAATGTATTATATAAATATGTGAAAATTTCAAAAAAATAAATAAAAATACTACTTAAAAAGGCAGAGAGTGACTGAGAAAAGATGCACATATCCATATGAACACATATGTATATATAAATATAACATATAAGCATATGTTGTACATACATATATGTATATATAGACATATGTATATACAAAAACATACAAGAAGGAAGGAAGGAACAAAAAAGAAAGTAAGTAGATAATAAGGTGATTCACCCCAAACCACACAATGAATCAGTAACTACGCTGAGACCAGAACTGACCAAAAGGAGAAAGGGCTTCCTGGCCTTTCTTCAAGGATCACTATGATGGTAATGAAGATGATGAAGATAATGATAATGATGACAGCACCACATACATAAGTGCTAGCTCTGTTCTAAGGACCATGCAGTCTCTATAATTTCCCTAGAATTAAGTAGTGTTAGCATCCTCTTTCTATACATGAGAAAAATGCACACAGTTTGAAAGCAAACCCAAGACTGAGTGAGGTGATACATACTACTACTATGTCATATCCCACATAATCCCAGCATTTTGGAGACTGAGGCAGGAGGATCATGAATAAGAAGCCTATCTTTTTTTTTTAACTTTTATTAATTACACTTTATTCACTTTGTGTCCCCCATAAACCCCTCCCTCCTTCCCTCCTAATCCCACCCTCCCTCCCCCTTCTTCACACATGCCCCTCCCCAAGTCCACTGATAGGGGAGGCCCTCCTCTCCTTCCTTCTGATCCTAGTCTATCAGATCTCAGGAGTAGTTGCATTGTCTTCTTCTGTGGCCTGGTAAGGCTGCTCCCCCTCAGGGGGAGGTGATCAAAGAGCAGGCCAATCAGTTCATGTCAGAGGCAGTCCCTGTTCCCATTACTATGGAACCAACTTGGACACTGAACTGCCATGTGCTACATCTGTGTAGGGATTCTAGGTTATCTCCATGCATGGTACTTTGTTGGAGTATGAGTCTCTGGGAAGACCCCTGTGTTCAAATTTTTTAGTTCTGTTGCTCTCCTTGTGGAGCTCCTGTCCTCTCTAGATCTTACTATTTCCCACTTCTTTCATAAGATTCCATGCACTCTGTCCAACATAAGTCTCAGCATCTGCTTTGATAGTCTGCATAGCAGAGTCTTTCAGAGGCCCTCTGTGGCAGGTTCCTCACTTGTTTCCTCTTTTCTCCTTCTTCTGATGTCCATCCTCTTTGCCTTTCGGGATGGGGATTGAGCATTTTAGTCAGAGTCCTCCCTCTTGATTAGTTTCTTTAGGTGTACAGATTTTAGTAGGTTTATCCTATATTATATGTCTATATGAGTGAGTATATACCGTGTGTGTCTTTCTGCTTCTGAATAGCTCACTCAGGGCGATCCTTTCCAGTTCCCACCATTTACCTGCAAATTTCATGATCTTTAAGAAAAACAAAAACAAACAAAAAACCCACAAGAACAGGCATTCTATAGTGCTTACTAAGGGCTTTTTATTTTATTTTTATTTGTTTGTTTGTTTATTGCTTTGCCTGCATATTGAAGATCACAAGACTACCATAGAAACTCATCGATTTGTGGAGAAGAGTATGAGACAGGACACACAGCAGGGAAGCCTTGGGAGTTCAGCTTTAGTGAGGCCAGTTCACAGAGCCTCAGATCATAGAGGCATCTTGATGCTGTTTCTATGTGGGCCTCAAGGTTTTGGCTGAGGAACAATGAAAGTTGAGTACAATAATCTCCTTGGTATAATGCTTCCCTGGAGCACAACTCTCTAGCCATAAAGGATGGGCCAGTGAAAAGAGTCACTGTTTTCAAAGGCACGTGAATGGCCCGGGATCATCTGCCCATCTTAAATCACGTTTTTTTTTTTTTTTTTTTTTTTTTTTTTAATCATCAACACTGCTAAAATAGTTGACATGCTCCCTATATCAGGCTTCCAAAGGAGCAAGATACAAAGTGAAGGTCAAATTTTCATGCAAATAGATAAAAATTTTCATCCCCACCCCTGCAGGCACACAGGCATTAAAGTAAAGGGTAAATCTGGGTCTGAATTTACCCCTGGTGTCTCCAGAGCCCTTGATGTCAGTTATTAGTTTCATGATTCAAAACAAAGGTGTCTTCAAGCCAGGCCAGTTTCTTGCCATCCCAGCCTCTCTCAGCAGGTCACCCCACAGATGCAAACGGTTGAGATCAGTATGGCCTACTCAACAAGTCAGGGCCACAGAGAGCCAACACATGCCGCAAGTTACCCAAGGTATCACAACTGCCAGGCTGGTGGTTGTCACATAAGAAAACATCCCACAGAGGACCAGAGAGATGCTGAATAAAAGTACCTACCACCACATCTGAGGACCCACATTCCACCACCAGGACCCACACGGTTGAAATAAATCTACTCCCACAGGTTGCCCTCTGAGCTCCACAAGTATACAGCAAGTCATGTGGACACATGCGCGCACACACACCGACAAATTGTAACTATTATAAAGAATGTTTAGTCGGGCGTCTGATCCGCAGCTTACTGGAAAACAAACCCAACTCACTTCAACCACATACCCACACACTTAGAATTCCATTCCTGTGTCAAGAGAGTCCTCAGGAGACAAGGTCCTGAAAAGTGGGGTGGGCTGGAATGTGGGAGAGAACAGGGAGAAAGGAAATAGCTCCTGCTCTCTTCTCTTCTCGTCCTATTATCTTCCCACCCTTCCTGCTTGCTCATCCGTTAGCATTCTGGCCTAGCCTGACCCTGCCAAAGCCAAGTGAACTTTGGCTTTAGGTGGAACAGCCGTTCTCACTTAGGTCCCCAGCTGGGATGAACAAGGTGGGAAGAATGCAGGGAAACAGAGACATTATCCAACTGAATCGGGGAGGGAACACCTCAATAGTATCACTTTTGTCAGCAAAGAATCCAGAGCACCCTGGCCCAGGATGCTAAAGCTGACCTGGGGGTGGGGGTGGGGGGTCAGTGAGCTAGTGACCATGTATGGTCAGTCTATCAGCACGTGCCCAACCCCACCCCGGACACAACTGCATCACGGGTGCTGGGAAAGAGCCCCCGTAATCTGCGTGTAAGCAAACCTTCCAGGTGAGGCTATCATGGCTGAGGCTGGAAATACTGACTTAGGTAGTGTGATTTATTAACAGCCTTTCCCCGTGCACTGGTTCAGGTGGAGAAGGGCAGGGAGCAGAGATACTCTCTGGAAGGCTCTCCCTCTTTCCCATGTGCTACACATTGTCCCCAGAGGAGCTGGCAGTTGATATGTGATTCTTGAATCAGTCTTTCGGTGTTCTTCCCCATATCTTCAAGTGTTGCTAGACACAAGTCGGACAACGTGAGTCCACCCCAAAGGGTTGAGTAACTCACACTCCAGAGCGGGAAGAGAATGAAATTCCGGGCCTGCCCCAGGGCATGGCACCACCTCCATAAATCCAGGGGATGGTCTGATTCTCAATTCTGACTTCCAACAAGGTAAACCCCCATCAGTTCAGGGAAGCGGCAGTATGTCCACCCTGGGAGCCTTCCATGCTGCCAAGCACATCACTAGGACATGCAGAGCCTGAGCAGGGGGTGGGCAGATTCGTGACAGTCATCACTGGATGTCCCCTTCCTTTTTGAAAGCCAGTTTCTCCCTCCAAAAAAAAAGAACTATTTCAGGGACCACTTAAAAGTTCAAAATGCAGCTGGGCAGTGGTGGCACATAGCTTTAATCCCAGCACTTGGGAGGCGGAGGCAGGTGGATCTCTGCGTTCAAGGCCAGCCTGGTCTACAAGGTGAGTTCCAGGACAGCCACAGAAAACACTTAAGCACTTATCTCCCCCTGAGCCGCAAGCTAGCCCTCAAATATCCAGATGTCAGAAGCCATAATGTTAACAGCAGTCAGAGGGATGCACTCAAGATAGAGCGAAAGGTAAAAGTGCTTGGAGTCATGGAATCCAGGGCCTGGAAGAGAACCCAAAGCCATCCGGTTTCACTGTCTATAGCAGTGCTTCTCAAGCTGTGGGTCGCAACCCCTTTGGGGATTAAATGAACTTTTCACAGGGGTTAGCCTAAGACTGTCAGAAAACACAGATGTTTGTATTATGATTTATAACAGTATCAAAATTACAGTTATGAAGTAGTGACAAAAGTAACTGTATGGCTGGAGGTCAGCACAACATGAGTTGCTGTATTAAAGGGTCGAAGTTAGGAAGGTTGAGTCTAAAGGGTGGTCCGAAGCCTAACATTCCCCACGTGGCTCCTCTCTACTTAGAGAATAGCCAACCCTCTACGTGCCTCGTCCCCGGCAGGTCACAACTGCTTTAGTTGGACATGTCTAGAGGTTGGAGACTTTATTGGGGATGAATGCAGAGGCATACTTGGAACTGAGAAGCTGAAGGGAATGAGGGATGGAGAACCAGACTTTACGGCTAACAAGGGCCTCTAGAGCTCTGCAGGAGGAGGGGTTGCCAGCTTTGGCCTGCGGCTGAAAAACATATTCTTCTCTAAGGGGTTGACAATCTCTTATCCAGTACTTCAGCAGTACTGAAGGTTTTGAGATAAAGGGCATTGATAAACCTGGTATGCAGCTGTTTAATTTTTATTTATTGTTTTGTGTGAATGGATGTTTTGTCTGAGAGTCTGTCTGTACCACGTGCACGCCCATTGCCTGGGGCAGCCAGAAGAGGGAGTCAGACCCCTTAAGACTGGAGTCACAGATGGTTATGAGCCACTACTGGCACATGCCTGTAGTCCCATCTACTGCGGAGCCACCAGAAGGCTCACTTGAAGCTTTACTTTGAGTCCTAAGTGTTAAGATATCACTGACAGAGGGGCGATCATCTTCAACTGCTCTACAGATATGGCGATACCAACAAGCTCTTACCAAAACCAGCAAGGACAAGGATGATTTTTCTAGGGTGGACCTTCAGACATATGCAGGGGCCCTCAGGGTCAACCGTAAACAACTCCACATGCACACTTGGGACTTGGAAAGACTGAGAAACACAGACAGAACAGGCTGGTTCTGAGCACTCCTGGGCACTCATTACCGTAGGTGATGACCAGCAGCATGAAGTTGAGGTTTTTGAAGAGCCGGACGATGGAACTTAAGTAGGAAGCATCAGGCGACGTCAAAGCATAACTCAGGGATTGGGCCCTGCTGGGAGGATACTTGGGCTTCTCCTTGAATACTGAAAGAAAAGTAATAGAGATGAGGAGGGGTGGTACCACCAGCCTGGGAGAACCAGTGCCACACAGACGTGAGCTGGCTCATCATCTAGGGAGGAGCTGAGGCGGGAAAGGCAATAACACTGTTTCTAGAGAAATCTTCCTAACTCCTCTCCTCAAGTTATTTCTCATTGTCTGAGGCTTTGCACAGAGTCCTTTCATTGCTTTTTCTTTCTTTTCTTTTTCTTTCTTTCTTTCTTTCTTTCTTTCTTTCTTTCTTTCTTTCTTTCTTCCTTCCTTTCTTTCTTTCTCTTTCTTCTTTCTTCTTTCTTTCTTTCTCTCTTTCTTTCTTTCTCTCTTTCTTTCTTTCTCTCTTTCTCTTTCTTTCTTTCTCTCTTTCTCTTTCTTTCTTTCTTTCTTTCTTTCTTTCTTTCTTTCTTTCTTCTCTTTTGTAGTACAGGGGATGGAACCTAGGACCTGGAGCATGCAAGGCAAGCACTCTCTGAGCTATTATCTCCAGCACCGTAATTTTTATTATACTTCCTTTTCTTTAATAGCCAGTGGAGGGCCAGAATCATTGAGCCTCCCAGGCAGTGTTCAAAGATCAAGGCAGCCTGTAATAACTAGCAAATAACTTGCTGCAAAGCCGAAGGGAGATGGGCACACACATGAATGAGAAGCGAAAGTGGAACTTTGGAAGGTTATGAAGCCTGTGAGTGGCTGAGCACCAGAGATCCTTTCAAGGGGGAATGGGATATGTGACAACAGGGTCACAGAGCCTGGCAACATGGCAGCCAAGCTCTTCCCTGAGTCAGTGAAAATTACAGTAGCAAAAGTTGAGAGTGTATTCCTAGTCTCACCAACACTGAATCAGACTTGTCTCATGAAAGAGACAAGACCACTCTTGTGTCACTCTTGGCTGAAGAGGGACTGTGGGGGACCGCACCAGTTCCACACAGCTGGTGTGATGTGACCCCACCGAGTGCCATCCGGCTTTTTGGTGGGCAGGTGTATTTAACTAGTTGTTTGACTAAACTGGTTCCCCCATATCATCTAAGCAAGCAAGCAAGCGCTGCCTGGCTTCTGGCGAGTCCCTTGAGACATCTCCTGGAAGGTGAGCAGTTGCTTCCAGAGGAAGTTCTGGAAATAAGGCTGGCTCTCCCAGCAGATCAAAGAACCCCCACCCCCAACCATTCCAGCTTTGACTTAGAGCCCTGCCTCTTCCTTCTCCAATAATAGTTTGGATAAATTCTCCCACTGGAATGTGCCATCCATTGTTTTGGCTGCTCAGCTTCTCTTCCATCAGAAGAAAGTAATGCAAGAAGGTGATTTAGTTCCACAGCATTAGGTGTTGTCTCAAGGATTCGGCAGGCATGAACCGAGACACAAATAAGGTTTCTTTTTTTTTTTTCATCCTTCACTCAGTTGACTACTACCTAATAAAAAAGCCAAACATAGGAACATCCTACCACCTAGGTTTGCAGTCACAAAGATCCTAGACCTCATTAGCCACAAACACAAGCATTTGGAGGCAGGCATTGTAGAATTTAAAACCACCCTGATCTGGTTCATTCTTCCTTTGCTCCCTCTCACAGCTTCTTGATGCTAGCCCTGTCCTTTCTCTAAGCTACCGTGAATGAAATGACATAGAGAATTCTGATATGGCATAAACATTTAACTCCATGACTCTGCAGGTGAGCCAGCACACAGGAATATAACTTTACTACCTGAGATAGGACTTCAGGGCAGAGGGCAGAGGGTAGCCTTTACATGGGTGATTAACAGGCTAATGGAAGAAAACTCTACCTGGACGTCTCTTGAATTGACCCTACTAATATCACTTACATGAAAACAATAAATGTTTGTTGTTGTTGTTCACTTTTATTGTTGTTTGCTATGTTTTGTTTGTTTTCTGTGAGACAGGGTCTCCCTATGTAGCATAGGATGTCCTAGAATTAATCATCCTCCTGCTTCAGCCTAGAGTACAAGGATCACAGGGGCCAGCCAGGAAACATAAATAATCAAATATGTGGGTGAGTAATTGGACATCTGTGTAAAATATTACTAGCAGTTATCTGAGTTTGCTTGTTGGGATTAAGTTGCTCAAGGATAAATTAATGGCCAGTCCTTTCTCTACACTCTGTAATTGTAATTTAGAGTGCGGCACTAAACAAACTTGGACTTCAATCCACTCCCGGCCACGTGCTTGCTGTCTAACTGGAATGACTTACTGAATTTCCCTCCAGTCTTAGCTTCCTTGTTGAAGCAGTCCTACAAGGCATCTTGTTCGTTGGGTTGTTGGGGAATAGATTAAATCAGACATTCTTGGGGGGGGGGCGGTTAGGAGGGTGGTTTCTCTGTATAACCCTGGTTGTCCTGGAAATTGTTTTGTAGACCAGGCTGGCCTCAAAGTCAAAGAGATCCTCCTGCCTCCTGGGTGCTGGGATTAAAGGCACACAACGCCATGTATGGCTGAGAATCAGACATTCTTAACACAATGTCTATGACACTGAAGGTCGCTGCTGGGTTTAATCAAGGTGACAGCAGTCTACCTAATTCTTCTGGTGAGATGAGAATGGAGAACTGATCAACTTAAACCTCTTCAGGGCTGATAACAAAGTATAGCACCAGGATAGCATGGTATTAGGAACAATTACTGAGGCTAAAATGTCCAAAGATTCTAAGAAGCCCTACCTCCAACGTCTCTAGGTATATGTGGTATTTAGGGCGTGCTCATATCTTGATTTAACTTTCCTACCCCTCCACCCACCAACAGCCTACTAAAGATCTTACCGATGATGACAAGGATGAAGAGGAGAGTGGCTACGCCTCCAATTATGTAGAACATGATGCTGATGTGGTAGGCAAGCTTTTCCTGGTCTTTGACGTTGGGTACCAGAACAGGAGGGACCAAAAACCCAATCGCAATTCCAAGCTACAGAAGACAGGCACAATCAATCAGTTATCAAATGGCCAAGAGCCAAATTTGAAGGCTACTATTAAGGGAACATAATTTCTGAGGCTGGGGAAATGGCTCAGTTGGTAAAATGCCTAGTATGCATGCATGAGGATCTGAGCTCACAGACCTAGCACCTGAATAAAAACTGGGTGTGGTTGAATATGGCTGTCCCCCAGCATTGGGAGGACAGAGACATCCCTGGGACTCATTGGCCAGCCAGCCTCACAGAACCAGTGAACTCCTGTTTCAAAACACAAAGGTGGAGAACAATGTAGGAAGACCACCAAAACCAACATCATCCTCTAGCCTCTTATCAACATATGCACATGCCCACATGATCATGTACATACACTGTACACACACATGCATGTACACATACAAAGAAATTTTATTCCCAATTTCCAGTCCTTCCTTGGACACAAGTCAGAATTACAATGGGGACTCTTGGTTGACAACTTGACTCATGCACACTTGTAACCCAAAAAAAAAAAAAAAAAAAAAAACTGTGGAAAATATTAGAGGTGGATCACACTACAGGCGGGCTCTCCTCTAGTGCAAACAAATGAGTAATGGTTTCTATGTCCCCATCTCTGGAATACAGTAATGTAACATTGACTCTTTTTTTTTCTCTCTTGTCCTATTGAAATGATCAGTTTCACTGAGTCTGTCAGCCCAGTGCTGAGAGTTCAGCTGAAAAGCTTCTATAACCTTGCACTACAGAACTGGCCTTCAGGGAGAGTTGGAAGCTGTCCGCCCATTTATAAGCATGAATGCTTCAGTTTGTTGTGTAATAGCTTAGCAACATCCAAAGTTTCTGTAACGTGAGGTCATACATGACTGCCAATGGTTACACACACACACACACGTATGCACACACAGGCATACAAATCACATGAATTAAAACACTAGCAAATAACGTGACCTGGGTGTCCCTGAGATCAGAAACACAATGATCAGCAGTTACTAACATAAAACTCTCCAAAGTCCTGCCACCCTCAATGGTTGGTAGCAGGCCAGTCAGGGCTTTCTCTTGGGCCTGGTTGTATGGAGAAGGAACTTAGTTTCTTGTCTAAATCCAGGAACAAGTTTGGTAAGGTCAGTAACAGCCTGGGGCCAGGGCCTTGGGAGAGTTGCAGTTTTGGTTCCTGGGACCTGCTTTGCCTCAGATTTGAAGGTTATCATCCCAAGGCTACTGAGCGCTCAGACTGTGGTGCTCTTGAGATAGCCTGTGTTCCCTTTGTGCAGCAGTACTTAGCTGGCCTTCGTCTGAGTCCATCTGTGTGACAGCTTGACAGAGTCTGAGGGCTCTGTCCCACTTCCCCCTGAAAATGGCATATAAGATGATGTCTTCTTAATAAACTTACTTGGCTTGAGCCATTAGCTCACAAAAGGCCTTCTGGTCCCAGCTTTCCTATCTTCACCATTTCTCTCATTCCTGGCCCTCCCGCTCAGGAATCTGTCACTGAAGAACAGCCTGCTGGTCCAGGTCACATAATAGCCAAGGCATAAACTGCAGGGAGTTCATTACCTCAGCATCCTACTCTACAAGCACAGGATGGACAGACCAACAAGAGTCAGCCCCTGAACTCTGAGTCAAGGCTACACAGGACAGCAAAGGCTACACAGAGAAACCCTATCTCGAAAAAAAAAAAATCAGAGCACCACAAAAAATTGCAAGACTTCCAAACATCAGGTTGTTTAAAGCCCGTAAGAGGAATCTTTATTTTAGACTTATTTATTTTTATGTGTGTGTGAGCATGTGTGATTTATGTGTTCCCACAGGTGTGCAGAAGCCCACAGAGGTTAAAAAGAAGACATCAAATACTATAGAACCGGACTTCTAGGAAGTTGTGAGCCACCGTGTCGGTGCTGGGAACTGAACCTGGGTCCTCTGGAAGAGCAGCAAGTGCTCTTAACCACTGAACATTTCTCCAGCCTCCACATAAGTAATTTTATTTTGTTCTTTCAGACAGGGTTTCTCTACGTGGCTATCCTGGACTTACTTTGTTGACCAAGCTGTCATCAGACTCACAGAGATCCACCTGCCTCTGCCTTCCTGAGTGCTGAGATTAAAGGCGTATGCTACCAAACCCAGCTCATATAAGTAATCTTTGCTTTAAGATTTATTTATTATTTATACAGTGTTCTGCCTGCATCTATATCTGCACAGGGCACCAGATCTCATTATAGATGGTTGTGAGCTTCCATGTGGTTGCTGGGAATTGAACTCAGGACCTTTGGAAGAATAGCCAGTGCTCTTAACCTCTGAGCCATCTCTCCAGCCCCACATAAGTAATCTTAAAGCATGCAGTATGATGCTCCCCTCCCAGCAATGTTTCCCATAATGAGATGACCCAGTAAAAGTGTGTTACTTTGTAGTTCTATGTGCAATAACAACGCTCTTACAATCTGAACATTAATCTAAAGCTAAGCTCCCAGGCTGGAGAGCTCAGGAAAACCCAAACCGCACAGATAAGCCTAAGAAAAAAAATATTACATGTATGGACTGTAAAAGGTGCTCAAATACAGTATCTCCAATTCCCATTCTATACGAAACCATGCCAGGTGTCCCTGGGGCCAAGAGGCTAGAGGCCCTGGTTTCTCAGGTAAGCAGAGAATGACCACCACTAAGGCGCCAATGATTGGGTCCACGTGAGCAGCTAGGTGAAGGTGATTTCCACAGTCTGCCTCCTGTCCTCTCATAGTGGTGTGTGTGCTGAGCACCACAAAGATGGCACTGCACAAGCCTAAATGCTCTGTCTAAGACAGAATCCTGAAGCTATTAATATGGGGGCTGGCAAGATAGCTCGATAGGTAAAGGCACATACTGCTAAGCCCGGTGACGCGATTTTAACCCCTGGGCCGTACACGGTGGAAGATAGGAACGTTGTCTTCTAACTTCCACACATACTTATATGCACCTCCACCATCCCACCCCACCCCCACACCAATGAATAAATGTGAAATAAAATGAAAACCTTTGCCGTACAACCCTGACTAATGTCATGTAAACATTTAGTTAAACCTGCTAGTGAGTAACTGACCTGGACAAGTGGAGCATAATGGAGACTACAGAAGCCCAAATTATGCAACAGAACTCATCCTTGGTCCTGTGGAGGGGATATGGCACGGGGTCCTGGGACAGAGTCTGTGGCTACCCCAAAAAGAAACAAGGGAAGATGGGGGTAGCTGCTGACCCACTGAAGAACTGAGGGCATGGGCCTGCAGCTTTATCCTGAGAATCCACTCCCAGCCACCCAAGAATGCCAGGCAGCTCTGAGGGATAAGCCACAGAAAGCACCAATGATCACACATGCAAGGCATACTCAGATGACCATATCTGAAATCTCCAAATCCAGGCCCTTGGCTTCTTTTGAAAAGGCCAATTTGGGATTAGGGAAGTAGAAGGCCTTTGTGAAGAAAAATGGCCCCAGTGGTTTATGGGAAATCTCTCATGAAAGGAGTTTGTGGATCTGAAGGCAGAGCTTAAGTGTGGGAGAACCGAGGAAATGAGGTTACAGCTGGTCAAAGCCAGACTTCCTTAGGGTTCCACCACGTCACCAGGTTTGTCTTCAGAGCCAGGATTATGCTGGTGGGTTATACGACTGGGCCATTTTTTTGTTTGTTTGTTTTGTTTTGTTTCCCGAGAAGGAGGGCAAGAGGTTAGAACAATGGTTCTCAACTTGTGGTTGTGACCCCTTTTGGGGGTCAAGTGACCCTTTCACAAGGATTGCATATTGGATATCCTGCATATCAGACACTAACATTACAATTCATAACAGCAGCAAAATTACAGTTATGAAGTAACAACGAAAAGAATTTCATGGTTGGGAGGGTCACCACAGCACGAGGAACTGAACTAAAGGGTCGCAGCGTCAGGAAGGTAGAGAAGGTTAGGGAAATACAGAGGGAAAGCAGCTGTGGAAACGAGAACAGCCCACAGACATTGATTCCTTTGGAAGACAATAATAACAAGGTGAGCCATGGTACTGAGTTAATCCCATCCCAGCCCTGGTTGAGAACTCGCTTGCTCAGGGTCCCCTGGCAATCAGTGAGGAGGCTAGATTTCCAGCTCAGGTCTTTTTATCCATCAGGGTTAGTGTGGCTGCTGTTAACTGTTCTCCTTAACTGGGAGGGTGCGCTGGGTGTGGTGGCACATGCCTGTGTCCTAGCCCTTGGGGAAGTGAGGCAGCACTGTGAGCTAGAGGCTGGTTGGAGCTACACAGTTAATTCCAAGCTAGTCTGCGGCATGATAGTATCTCAGTAAACGCTGAGAAGATACACTGCACCGATGGAGATGGAAGCCCCCCTCTGTGATAAGCACCCACTGTATGCCTGACGGTGCGCTGAAGAATTTTTCACACGTTGTCTTTTTGTTTTGTTTTGTTTTGTTTTGTTTTGTTTTGTTTTGTTTTTTTGAGACAAGGTTTCTCTGTGTAGCCTTGGCTGTCCTGGACTCACTCTGTACACCAGGCTCCCCTGGAACTCACAGAGATCTGCCTGCCTCTCTCTGCCTCGCAGAGTGCTGGGATTACAGATGGGCACCACTGTGCCCAGCTCACATGCTGCTTCCTTTAAGCCCTCATATGCACCCCCTGAACTCAGTAACATCATTGCTAGATTCTTAAGGATGAGAAAACTTTTGGAACTTGCTGCTTAGCTTCTAATGGCTAAGATTCAAACCCACAGACATTTAACTCCTTGATGGGAGAGACAAGTGCCACAGAACAATGACGCCCCCAAACCTGACACTGCTTTTGGCTGACAGGCTCTAATCTATAATTAGTGCTGTTGAAGAAGCAATGGCAAGAGTCATTTCCGGCCATAGTCAGCTTTATTCACCACAGTGACATTCTGTCTGTCTGTCTGTCACAGTACATATGTGGAGTTCAGAAGACAACTTGTGAGAGTCAGTTCTCTTTCCGTGACATGGGTCCAGGAAATCAAACTCAAGAAAATGTCTTTACCCACTGACC